GGGAGGCACAGACAGTCAAAGCCAAAATCAACTATTGGGATTGCATCAAATTGAGAAGTTTCTGTGCTGCAAAAGAAACAGTCAGGAGAGTGAAGAGACAACCGACAGAATGGGAACAAATATTTGCAAACTATGCAACAGATAAAGGGTTGATAACCAGAATCTACAAAGAGATCAAGAAACTCCACAAAAACAAAACAAACAACCCAATAAGAGATGGGTCAAGGACTCAAGAGACATTTTTCAAAAGAGGAAATCCAAATGGCCAACAGGCACATGAAACAATGTTCAAGGTCACTAGCAGTCAGGGAAATGCAAATCAAAACCACAATGAGGTTTCACCTCACCCCGGTTAGAATGGTTCACATACAGAAATCTACCAACAACAGATGCGGGCAAGGATGTGGGGAAAAAGGGACACTAACCCACTGTTGGTGGGAATGCAAACTGGTCAAGCCACTATGGAAGTCAGTCTGGAGATTCCTCAGAAACCTGAAGATAACCCTACCGTTCGACCCAGTCATCCCACTCCTTGGAATTTACCCAAAGGAATTTAAATTGGAAAACAAAAAAGCGGTCTGCACCCTAATGTTTATTGCAGCACAATTCACAATAGCCAAGACCTGGAACCTACCTAAATGCCCATCGACGGTAGACTGGATAAAGAAATTATGGGATATGTACTCTTTAGAATACTATACCGCAGTAAGAAACAACGAAATCCAGTCAATTGCAACAAAATGGAGGAATCTTGAACACATCATGCTTAGTGAAATAAGCCAGACTCAAAGGGACAAATACCATATGTTCTCCCTGATTGGTGACAACTGACTGAACACCAAGAAGGAAACCTGTTGAAGTGAAATGGACACTATGAGAAATGGTGACTTGATCAGCATAGCCCTGACCGTGAATGAACAACTTAATACATTATCCCTCTTAGTAGTATTTTTTTTGTCTGTTCTACTTAATATGACTGGTTTATTTATGTAATTATCACATAGTTATTCTTAAGTGTTGAAAATTAACCGAAATGTGATCCCTGTTAAACATAAGAGTGGGGATAAGAGAGGGAAGAGATGTATAATTTGGGACATGCTCAGGCTGACTTGCCCCAAACGGTAGAGTTAGAAACATACCAGGGGACTCCCATTTAATCCCATCAAGGTGGCATGTACCAATGCCTTCTCACTATTCCAAGTGATCAATTTCAGTTCACAATTGATCATAATGAAAGGACTAAGAGTCAAAGGGAGCACATAAACAAGTCTAGTACCTGCTAACACTAACCATAGAATATATAAAGGGGAGAGTGATCCAACATGGAAAGCGAGATACTCAGCGGACTCACAGAATGGCGGATGTCGTAAACAGCACTCTGGCCTCAGAATCAGGCCTAAAGGCTTTCCGATCTGGCTGAAAATCCCATGAGAGTATTTCAGACATGGAAAGCCAGACACTCTGGCAAAAAAAAAAAAAAAAAAAAAAAAAAAAAAAAAACACCTAAATTAAAGATTTCTGTGAGTGAGATCCCAGTGGAAAGAACAGGTCTTCAAAGAAGGAGGTACCTTTCTCTGAAGGGAGGAGAGAACCTCCACTTTGACTATGACCGTGTCTAAACAAGATAAGAGTTGGAGAACTCAAGGGGCTTCCATAGCCTTGGAAACTCATGACTGGTTCATAGGGAGATTACTGATGCTATAAACAGGAGTGTCAATTTGTAAAGTCAACAACAGGAGTCACCTTGCACTTACTCTTCATGTAGGATCTCTGTCCTTAATGTGCTGTACATTGAGGCTTAATGCTATGACGAGTACCCAAACAGTATATTTCACTTTGTGTTTTTATGGGGGTGCAAACTGTTGAAATATTTAATTAATGTATACTAAACTGATCTTCTGTTAAAAAAAAAGAAGAAGAAGAAGAAATTATCAATTCCCAACTTGACTCTTGCTGGGATTAAACATGACAATAGGTCTCATCTGATTTCATCATCATTTAAAAAATCATCTATTATTTTTCACCTTATATGTTTGTGTGGTGGCAAACTGTTGAAACCTTTACTTAATGTATGCTGAACTCATCTTCTGTATATAAATAGAATTGAAAATGAATCCTCATGTGAATGGAAGGGGAGAGGGAATGGGAAAGTGGAGGGTTGCGGGTGGGAGGGACATTATGGGGGGGAAGCCATTCTAATCCATAACCCGTACTTTGGAAATTTATATTCATTAAATAAATGTAAAAAAAAGAAAATTAAAAAAAATTTAAAAAAATAATTCATAAGATGTTTACTTGTTCAGGATTTTCTCTGGTTGAGCATTAGGCACACACGGAAGTAAAACAGTATAGAGTTTACAGTGTGCAAAGTGTTATAATGTCACATGTTGGTTCAAATTTCTCACTGAGCATAGATAACTGATTTGCTATCATCAATTAAGTCACAAGTTGAGTTTTAAATGGGTGGGAAAGTCAGGTGCGATTTGCCTCAGTGTGTGCATCATTCACTTCTCTATTTCTGTTGATGGCAGGTCCTGGGGAATTTCTAGGTGTGTGAGTGTGTGTCTGTGCGTGTGTGTGTGTTTTGTGCCATCGCAAATGCAAGCATGTTCTGTGCTGGAGTGGTTCACTATGATGTCAGTATACGCAAGGATGGCACAATTAGTCTGAATTGGTCTGAAATTAATATGAAATAAATTCAGTATTTACCTATATGAATACTGCAGTGAGTTTTAATTAGGTAGAAAGGAAATGTTTGGGTCTGTGTGTTTAGCACACATGGCTCTATGTCATGTCACATCACGTGGTTTTGAGTGTGTGTTGTATTATATACAGATGGGTGTTCTGTGGTGTGTGCGTGTGTGTGTGTGTTTTGTGCCATGGCAAATGCAAGCATGTTCTGCGTTGGAGTGGTTCACTATCATGTCAGTACATGCAGAGGATGGCACAATGCAGGAGGAAGCACACGGCAACTCGCAGCATATGCATCTCTTTGAAGGGCTGATTTCACTTTGGATGAAGTGCCCTGTGATGGAGAATGTGTGCTGTCTGGGCAAATCAAATCCCTTCACACACAGGATTGTCTGGCATACTGATACGTGTGAGGTGGTGTGAAGCGATCGTGACCAGAGTAAGGGGCAGGTTTCTTCAGGAATGAGGGTGACAGGCTATCCCTGTGCAATGCCACTAGGGGATAGGAAAGAAATGGTGAAGGCAGATGATAGATGTGAGATGATCTGAAAGAGGAAAGGGAAATGGCAGCCCCCTACCCCTTATAGAGAAGTTCAACAGGTGAGTATGGAATGGAAATCCTGCCAGTCAGTGTGCCTTGGGAGGCTCTATCTGGATTCCACACACGAGCCCACAACCCATGGACTCATCTTTAGTCCTCCCAGTGCCCACGGATGGCAACTTGATGGAGAGGATCTCTGAGCCATTCTCAGGATATTACTGGGACATTCCTATAGCTTCCTCCCATGGGGCTTCATCCTGGTTCTATACCCTGAAACATGCTCCTATGTGAGCCCAAAGAGGAGTGGGCGGGAGTTGGCCTGGGGAACTCAGCTGCAACACTCACCAAAGTTCACACCTTCCCTTTGCATGTGCCTTACCTTCATCTTCAATAAGAATGGATTCTCCCAGACAGCAAACAAAGCGGGCATCATCTGATGTTGAGGATCTCTTTCTTTCTGACTTAGATGGGATGAGGCCGGTGCCACGGCTCACTAGGCTAATCCTCCACCTAGCGGCGCCGGCACACCGGGTTCTAGTCCCGGTCGGGGCGCCGGATTCTTTCCCGGTTGCCCCTCTTCCAGGTCAGCTCTCTGCTGTGGCCTGGGAAGGCAGTGGAGGATGGCCCAAGTGCTTGGGCCCTGCACCCCATGGGAGACCAGGAGAAGCACCTGGCTCCTGCCTTCAGAGCAGCATGGTGCGCCGTCCACAGCGCGCCAGCCGTGGCGGCCATTGGGGGTTAACCAACGGCAAAGGGAAGACCTTTCTCTCTGTCTCTCTCTCTCACTATCCACTCTGCATGTTCAAAAAAAAGTAAAAAAGAAAAGATGGGATGGGAAAGTCACACATGACTCAGGAGCATTCTCCAGTGCCTCAGAGCCTTCTGGGGGGACAAGATGACAATAAGACAACCTTGAGATGTGACTTCATCTGGCTTCTGCATCTATGCAAATGAACAGCACGTCAAATGCATATATTGTTCAAGGCATTTGAGCCCACAGGGGACTTGCTTTCAAAGGAATGGTGCTGAATTCCCCATCTATTGACTAGCAACCATCCTAAGAGTGCCAATCCTATGCAGACCACAGTCTGCCTCCTGGACAAAGTTTCAAATGGGAAGTGTTTAAAAATACTTCAGTTGTATCTGGGTGTCAAAGGCTAATTAATTAGACACGATGTACATAACATGTTTTTGTGGAGCCACGTTAGGTGCGTTGTCTTAAAAATATGCTGTCAGGTGCAACTGACATAAGAAACTGTAATGTCACTTACCTATGTCTCCTTCGTTCTCCTACATTTCGTATGACTGCTGTGAAAGCTTGCGTAATACACCCACCCCACGCTGTTCATGTCTTCATCACTGTAGCCCCTGGACATTCCCGAGATTGTCAATGATGACACTTAGATGCCATTTTTCTCAGAATTTGAGGTGCACGGATGACCCTTTATCATGCATGTTGGTTATAAATGTCATCCCAAGGATCTTTGTGTGAGTACAAAAGAATTTCAGACTATAATGTAGAATAAGCCTACATTCTTTTTGTCAGGAGTATAACAAGTTAGTCTGTGCACAGGTATTTGTTTCATGTGTTTATTCTGTTCTCTGTTCTGGTTTCCGTACTTTAAGGGCATCCCATAGTCACACCCTCAAAGCTTCCCTAGTGCTCATTCCTCGTGTCCTGTGCTGAGAACCTGTGACTTATTCTTGGAACAGTACCTCAATTTCAAATGTCACATAGCTTGATGCTTTCCCTTCGCATCTGACTTACCGTCTTCAATAAGAATGGACTCGTTCCAAGAGGAAACAAAGCAGACATCATCTGAGTTGGATGAATTCTCTCCTTCCTTGTTAAGATGTGCCAGGCCTTGCAAACACATCTCAGAGGCATCCTTTTGAGGCTTTTGCAGTGCTGGGGAAAAACAACAAAATGACATCCCTTGAGATGTGACATCATCCAGTTTCTGCATCTAAATGGCAATGTATCACTGGATATGTTGTTTCGGGCAGGTGGCCACTCATGAGACATGCTCTCACAGGAATGAAAGCGACTTCACCCATTTAGTGAATGTCAGTTGTCCACTACATGCCAGACTCTCATGAAGACCATGAAATGTGCCTGGTCAAAGCTTCAAAACAGATGTTTTAATAACTTTCATCCTTGTCCAGGTGTTGCTGGCTCAAAAGACAGAGCACACATTTATACTATCACTTGCTTTGTGTGTCTTGAAACAGTAATGTCACACAGAGTGCAATCCATGTGTTGTTAGTATTCATGCCCCTGTTACTGTCTAAAAATTCCATGATAGTTGTGAAAGGCTGCGCGATGCTCCACAACCAAGATCTCCATATCTTAACCACGGGAACCTGTGGATCTTACCTGGTAAGTTAAAGGAGATAATTACATACACATGCGTGAATTCAGGATCTTTGTACCTCATGAATGGGCACTTCTTACCTAATTCTCTTTGTTTCCTGAGTTCAGTACCCTTGAGTTATCAGTTTTAACCCTATTTCAAGCAATAACAGGAGCACAGAATACTTCTGCTTCTAGTCGGCATCGGACATCCTACTGTCATTCAGCACTTTAATCACAGCTGCTCTATCTGTTGTGAATTAGTTATTTTCTCTTGGGAATTTGAATAATCAAGACCTATCTATATATTCTCCGATCTCCTAGCACAAATTTGTTGCTGGTTGCCATTTCCTTTGTCAGTTTTTTTTTTTTTCTGAATAGACTCTTTAAATCACTATTAGTTTTCATTTTTCTTTGGCGTATTTATGTTAAACTGTCATATTTAATCCCTGACCTTGTATGACCGTGACTGTTCTTTTTGCCCTAAGCACACTATTTTATTCTGTGTTCATTTGTCTTCCGTGATGGTTGCTGAACATACCCACACACATTGCACTGATGTGCCCAGCCTCACCTGTCGCTGTCCTTACCAGGATGAGGTTGTAAAGGTGAAGGTGAGTGGCTGATGTGGGGTTCCAATTTATCAGATGTTTCTTCTGCTTCAAGGACCAAGGTCTTGCCCTCCACTGAGTTTTCAGGTTGTGGATCACACTGGGTGATTGAGATGTCTGCAATGTGGATCAGAGGTCATGAATATGCAGTTGATGTTTCATTCATTGATTTATCCAATCCACACATATTCTGATGATCATGATCTGAGTTCTCAGAATAGACGTATTCCATAATCTCACAGGCAACCAAATACATGTCCTGATAAAAACTATAACATACATGTGCACAGCACATTCGTCTCATCATTGGATGCTGGAGTTTGGGTTAGAAGTCATATAATTGGGTTGGACTTCTTGCTATCTGCTAAAGCTCTTTTTTTAATGGTGTCAGAGTGTGTGAAGGAATACAACTAGCATTTCTCTTGCTTTACCAAAGATTATGTACAAAATATCATATGTAACCTCACTTAAGTCCTGTATTGGGGATTATCACACCACAGAATAACCAACATCTCTGAATATTTTGTTTTGTTTCCTGCAGGGACCCAGCTTCTTCTATTCTCCTTCATTGACTTTTTCCAGTGAGCACCCTTCCCACATCCAAGATGACATTTTCCTCTTAGGTGCAATTTAAAATGCGCAAGGGGCTGCTACCTTTGGGTTGTCTGTATTTCCTCCTGGGTCCAGCCCTCAGGTCTCCTCAGTACCACAGTCCTTGGCTACTGCTTTTGGCCCTGTTGGCCTCCACTAATTTGTCATGCCAATGAAACAATGGCTGAATTCTGAACTTGAATAAAATACATATTCATGATTGTCTCATGCCACTGTTGCTGTTAAATGTTAACACAGTCCACTGATTGTTACTGAATTCTTAAGATTATCAAGTTGTGTCATGAATGTGGTGTGCTGTATATGATGCACTCACACATTGCAGAGAAACAGTGTGGTGAAATCATGTGCCACATGTATGTAACTTTGTAACATACTGCTTGAATTGGTCTGAAATTAATATGAAATAAATTCAGTATTTACCTATATGAATACTGCAGTGAGTTTTAATTAGGTAGAAAGGAAATGTTTGGGTCTGTGTGTTTAGCACACATGGCTCTATGTCATGTCACATCACGTGGTTTTGAGTGTGTGTTTGTATTATATACAGATGGGTGTTCTGTGGTGTGTGTGTGTGTGTGTGTGTGTGCGTGTGTGTGTGTGTTTTTTGCCATGGCAAATGCAAGCATGTTCTGCGTTGGAGTGGTTCACTATCATGTCAGTACATGCAGAGGATGGCACAATGCAGGAGGAAGCACACGGCAACTCGCAGCATATGCATCTCTTTGAAGGGCTGATTTCACTTTGGATGAAGTGCCCTGTGATGGAGAACATGTGCTGTCTGGGCAAATCAAATCCCTTCACACACAGGATTGTCTGGCATACTGATACGTGTGAGGTGGTGTGAAGCGATCATGACTGGAGTAAGGGGCAGGTTTCTTCAGGAATGAGGGTGACAGGCTATCCCAGTGCAATGCCACTAGAGGATAGGAAAGAAATGGTGAAGGCAGATGATAGATGTGAGATGATCTGAAAGAGGAAAGGGAAATGGCAGTGCCCCCCTGGTAGAGAAGACCAACACATGAGTACGGAATGGAAATCCTGCCAGTTTGTGTGCCTTGGGAGGCTCTATCTGGATCCCACACACGAGCTCACCACCCATGGACTCATCTTCAGTCCTCCGAGTGCCCACGGATGGCAACTTGTTGGAGAGGATCTCTGAGCCATTCTCAGGATATTTTTGGGACACTCCTGCAGGTTTCTCCCATGGGGCTTCATCCTGGTTCTGTACCCTGAAACATGCTCCTATGTGAGCCCAAAGAGGAGTGGGCGGGAGTTGGCCTGGGGAACTCAGCTGCAACACTCACCAAAGTTCACACCTTCCCTTTGCACGTGCCTTACCTTCATCTTCAATAAGAATGGATTCTCCAGACAGCAAACAAAGCGGGCATCATCTGATGTTGAGGATCTCTTTCTTTCTGACTTTAGATGGGATGAGGCCGGTGCCACGGCTCACTAGGCTAATCCTCCAACTAGCGGCGCCGGCACACCGGGTTCTAGTCCCGGTCGGGGCACCGGATTCTTTCCCGGTTGCCCCTCTTCCAGGCCAGCTCTCTGCTGTGGCCTGGGAAGGCAGTGGAGGATGGCCCAAGTGCTTGGGCCCTGCACCCCATGGGAGACCAGGAGAAGCACCTGGCTCCTGCCTTCAGAGCAGCATGGTGCGCCGTCCACAGCGTGCCAGCCGTGGCGGCCATTGGGGGGTTAACCAACGGCAAAGGGAAGACCTTTCTCTCTGTCTCTCTCTCTCACTATCCACTCTGCATGTTAAAAAAAAGTAAAAAAGAAAAGATGGGATGGGAAAGTCACACATGACTCAGGAGCATTCTCCAGTGCCTGCAGAGCCTTCTGGGGGGACAAGATGACAATAAGACAACCTTGAGATGTGACTTCATCTGGCTTCTGCATCTATTCAAATGAACAGCACGTCAAATGCATATATTGTTCAAGGCATTTGAGCCCACAGGGGACTTGCTTTCAAAGGAATGGTGCTGAATTCCCCATCTATTGACTAGCAACCATCCTAAGAGTGCCAGTCCTATGCAGACCACAGTCTGCCTCCTGGACAAATTTCAAATGGGAAGTGTTTAAAAATACTTCAGTTGTATCTGGGTGTCAAAGGCTAATTAATTAGACACGATGTACATAACATGTTTTTGTGGAGCCACGTTAGGTGCGTTGTCTTAAAAATATGCTGTCAGGTGCAACTGACGTTAAGAAACTGTAATGTCACTTACCTATGTCTCCTTCGTTCTTCTAACATTTGTATGACTGCTGTGAAAGCTTGCGTAATACACCCACCCCACGCTGTTCATGTCTTCATCACTGTAGCCCCTGGACATTCCCGAGATTGTCAATGATGACACTTAGATGCCATTTTTCACAGAATTGAGGTGCACGGATGACCCTTTATCATGCATGTTGGTTATAAATGTCATCCCAAGGATCTTTGTGTGAGTACAAAAGAATTTCAGACTATAATGTAGAATAAGCCTACATTCTTTTTGTCAGGAGTATAACAAGTTAGTCTGTGCACAGGTATTTGTTTCATGTGTTTAATCTGTTCTCTGTTCTGGTTTCCGTACTTTAAGGGCATCCCATAGTCACACCCTCAAAGCTTCCCTAGTGCTCATTCCTCGTGACCTGTGCTGAGAACCTGTGACTTATTCTTGGAATAGTACCTCAGTTTCAAATGTCACATAGCTTGATGCTTTCCCTTCGCATCTGACTTACCGTCTTCAATAAGAATGGACTCGTTCCAAGAGGAAACAAAGCAGACATCATCTGAGTTGGATGAATTCTCTCCTTCCTTGTTAAGATGTGCCAGGCCTTGCAAACACATCTCAGAGGCATCCTTTTGAGGCTTTTGCAGTGCTGGGGAAAAACAACAAAATGACATCCTTGAGATGTGACATCATCCAGTTTCTGCATCTAAATGGCAATGTATCACTGGATATGTTGTTTCGGGCAGGTGGCCACTCATGAGACTTGCTCTCACAGGAATGAAAGCGACTTCACCCATTTAGTGAATGTCATTGTCCACTACATGCCAGACTCTCATGAAGACCATGAAATGTGCCTGGTCAAAGCTTCAAAACAGATGTTTTAATAACTTTCATCCTTGTCCAGGTGTCGCTGGCTCAAAAGACAGAGCACACATTTATACTATCACTTGCTTTGTGTGTCTTGAAACAGTAATGTCACACAGAGTGCAATCCATGTGTTGTTAGTATTCATGCCCCTGTTACTGTCTAAAAATTCCATGATAGTTGTGAAAGGCTGCGCGATGCTCCACAACCAAGATCTCCATATCTTAACCACGGGAACCTGTGGATCTTACCCGGTAAGTTAAAGGAGATAATACATACACATGCATGAATTCAGGATCTTTGTACCTCATGAATGGGCACTTCTTACCTAATTCTCTTTGTTTCCTGAGTTCAGTACCCTTTGAGTTATCAGTTTTAACCCTATTTCAAGCAATAACAGGAGCACAGAATACTTCTGCTTCTAGTCGGCATCGGACATCCTACTGTCATTCAGCACTTTAATCACAGCTGCTCTATCTGTTGTGAATTAGTTATTTTCTCTTGGGAATTTGAATAATCAAGACCTATCTATATATTCTCCGATCTCCTAGCACAAATTTGTTGCTGGTTGCCATTTCCTTTGTCAGTTTTTTTTTTTTTCTGAATCGACTCTTTAAATCACTATTAGTTTTCATTTTTCTTTGGCGTATTTATGTTAAACTGTCATATTTAATCCCTGACCTTGTATGACCGTGACTGTTCTTTTTGCCCTAAGCACACTATTTTATTCTGTGTTCATTTGTCTTCCGTGATGGTTGCTGAACATACCCACACACATTGCACTGATGCGCCCAGCCTCACCTGTCGCTGTCCTTACCAGGATGAGGTTGTAAAGGTGAAGGTGAGTGGCTGATGTGGGGTTCCAATTTATCAGATGTTTCTTCTGCTTCAAGGACCAAGGTCTTGCCCTCCACTGAGTTTTCAGGTTGTGGATCACACTGGGTGATTGAGATGTCTGCAATGTGGATCAGAGGTCATGAATATGCAGTTGATGTTTCATTCATTGATTTATCCAATCCACACATATTCTGATGATCATGATCTGAGTTCTCAGAATAGACGTATTCCATAATCTCACAGGCAACCAAATACATGTCCTGATAAAAACTATAACATACATGTGCACAGCACATTCGTCTCATCATTGGATGCTGGAGTTTGGGTTAGAAGTCATATAATTGGGTTGGACTTCTTGCTATCTGCTAAAGCTCTTTTTTTAATGGTGTCAGAGTGTGTGAAGGAATACAACTAGCATTTCTCTTGCTTTACCAAAGATTATGTACAAAATATCATATGTGACCTCACTTAAGTCCTGTATTGGGCCTTATCCTACCTACAGAATAACCAACATCTCTGAATATTCTGTATTGTTCCCTGCAGGGACACAGCTTCTTCTATTCTCCTTGATTGACTTTTTCCAGTGAGCACCCTTCCCACATCCAAGATGACATTTTCCTCTTAGGTTCAATTGAAATGCGCAAGGGGGTGCTACCCTTTGGGTTGTCTATATTTCTTCCCGGGTCCAGCCCTCAGGTCTCCTCAGTACCACAGTCCTTGGCCTACTGCTTTTGGCCCTGTTGGCCTCCACTAATTTGTCATGCCAATGAAACAATGGCTGAATTCTGAACTTGAATAAAATACATATTCATGATTGTCTCATGCCACTGTTGCTGTTAAATGTTAACACAGTCCACTGATTGTTACTGAATTCTTAAGATTATCAAGTTGTGTCATGAATGTGGTGTGCTGTATATGATGCACTCACACATTGCAGAGAAAACAGTGTGGTGAAATCATGTGCCACATGTATGTAACTTTGTAACATACTGCTTGAATTGGTCTGAAATTAATATGAAATAAATTCAGTATTTACCTATATGAATACTGCAGTGAGTTTTAATTAGGTAGAAAGGAAATGTTTGTGTCTGTGTGTTTAGCACACATGGCTCTATGTCATGTCACATCACGTGGTTTTGAGTGTGTGTTGTATTATATACAGATGGGTGTTCTGTGGTGTGTGTGTGTGTGTGTGTGTGCGTGTGTGTGTGTGTTTTGTGCCATGGCAAATGCAAGCATGTTCTGCGTTGGAGTGGTTCACTATCATGTCAGTACATGCAGAGGATGGCACAATGCAGGAGGAAGCACACGGCAACTCGCAGCATATGCATCTCTTTGAAGGGCTGATTTCACTTTGGATGAAGTGCCCTGTGATGGAGAACATGTGCTGTCTGGGCAAATCAAATCCCTTCACACACAGGATTGTCTGGCATACTGATACGTGTGAGGTGGTGTGAAGCGATCATGACCGGAGTAAGGGGCAGGTTTCTTCAGGAATGAGGGTGACAGGCTATCCCAGTGCAATGCCACTAGAGGATAGGAAAGAAATGGTGAAGGCAGATGATAGATGTGAGATGATCTGAAAGAGGAAAGGGAAATGGCAGTGCACCCCCTGGTAGAGAAGACCAACACATGAGTACGGAATGGAAATCCTGCCAGTCAGTGTGCCTTGGGAGGCTCTATCTGGATTCCACACACGAGCGCACCACCCATGGACTCATCTTCAGTCCTCCGAGTGCCCACGGATGGCAACTTGTTGGAGAGGATCTCTGAGCCATTCTCAGGATATTTTGGGACACTCCTGCAGGTTCCTCCCATGGGGCTTCATCCTGGTTCTATACCCTGAAACATGCTCCTATGTGAGCCCAAAGAGGAGTGGGCGGGAGTTGGCCTGGGGAACTCAGCTGCAACACTCACCAAAGTTCACACCTTCCCTTTGCACGTGCCTTACCTTCATCTTCAATAAGAATGGATTCTCCCAGACAGCAAACAAAGCAGGGCATCATCTGATGTTGAGGAGTCTCTTTCTTTCTGACTTTAGATGGGATGAGGCCGGTGCCACGGCTCACTAGGCTAATCCTCCACCTAGCTGGCGCCGGCACACCGGGTTCTAGTCCCCGGTCGGGGCACCGGATTCTTTCCCGGTTGCCCCTCTTCCAGGCCAGCTCTCTGCTGTGGCCTGGGAAGGCAGTGGAGGATGGCCCAAGTGCTTGGGCCCTGCACCCCATGGGAGACCAGGAGAAGCACCTGGCTCCTGCCTTCAGAGCAGCATGGTGCGCCGTCCACAGCGCGCCAGCCGTGGCGGCCATTGGGGGTTAACCAACGGCAAAGGGAAGACCTTTCTCTCTGTCTCTCTCTCTCACTATCCACTCTGCATGTTAAAAAAAGTAAAAAGAAAGATGGGATGGGAAAGTCACACATGACTCAGGAGCATTCTCCAGTGCCTCAGAGCCTTCTGGGGGGACAAGATGACAATAAGACAACCTTGAGATGTGACTTCATCTGGCTTCTGCATCTATTCAAATGAACAGCACGTCAAATGCATATATTGTTCAAGGCATTTGAGCCCACAGGGGACTTGCTTTCAAAGGAATGGTGCTGAATTCCCCATCTATTGACTAGCAACCATCCTAAGAGTGCCAGTCCTATGCAGACCACAGTCTGCCTCCTGGACAAATTTCAAATGGGAAGTGTTTTAAAAATACTTCAGTTGTATCTGGGTGTCAAAGGCTAATTAATTAGACACGATGTACATAACATGTTTTTGTGGAGCACGTTAGGTGCGTTGTCTTAAAAATATGCTGTCAGGTGCAACTGACGTTAAGAAACTGTAATGTCACTTACCTATGTCTCCTTCGTTCTCTCTAACATTTGTATGACTGCTGTGAAAGCTTGCGTATACACCCACCCCACGCTGTCATGTCTTCATCACTGTAGCCCCTGGACATTCCCGAGATTGTCAAATGAGCCACTTTAGATGCCATTTTTTTCACAGAATTTGAGGTGCACGGATGACCCTTTATCATGGCATGTTGGTTATAAATGTCATCCCAAGGTCTTTGTGTGAGTACAAAAGAATTTCAGACTATAATGTAGAATAAGCTACATTCTTTTTGTCAGGAGGATAACAAGTTGAGTCTGTGCACAGGTATTTGTTTCATTTGTTTATTTGTTTCTCTGTTCTGGTTTCCGTAATTTAAGGGCATCCCATAGTCACACCCTCAAAGCTCCCTAGTGCTCATTCCTCGTGACCTGTGCTGAGAACCTGTGACTTATCTTGGAACAGTACCTCAGTTTCAAATGTCACATAGCTTGATGCTTTCCCTTCGCATCTGACTTACCGTCTTCAATAAGAATGGACTCGTTCCAAGAGGAAACAAAGCAGACATCATCTGAGTTGGATGAATTCTCTCCTTCCTTGTTAAGATGTGCCAGGCCTTGCAAACACATCTCAGAGGCATCCTTTTGAGGCTTTTGCAGTGCTGGGGAAAAACAACAAAATGACATCCTTGAGATGTGACATCATCCAGTTTCTGCATCTAAATGGCAATGTATCACTGGATATGTTGTTTCGGGCAGGTGGCCACTCATGAGACTTGCTCTCACAGGAATGAAAGCGACTTCACCCATTTAGTGAATGTCAGTTGTCCACTACATGCCAGACTCTCATGAAGACCATGAAATGTGCCTGGTCAAAGCTTCAAAACAGATGTTTTAATAACTTTCATCCTTGTCCAGGTGTTGCTGGCTCAAAAGACAGAGCACACATTTATACTATCACTTGCTTTGTGTGTCTTGAAACAGTAATGTCACACAGAGTGCAATCCATGTGTTGTCAGTATTCATGCCCCTGTTACTGTCTAAAATTCCATGATAGTTGTGAAAGGCTGCGCAATGCTCCACAACCAAGATCTCCATATCTTAACCACGGGAACCTGTGGATCTTACCTGGTAAGTTAAAGGAGATAATTACATACACATGCGTGAATTCAGGATCTTTGTACCTCATGAATGGGCACTTCTTACCTATTTCTCTTTGTTTCCTGAGTTCAGAACCCTTTGAGTTATTCGTTTTCACCCTATTTCAGCAATAACAGGAGCACAGAATACTTCTGCTTCTAGTCGGCATCGCACATCCTACTGTCATTCAGCACTTTAATCACAGCTGCTCTATTTGTTGTGAATTATTATTCTCTCCGGAATTTGAATAATCAACCTATCTATTCATAATACTCTCGAACTCCTAGCACAAATTTGTTGCTGGTTGCCATTTGCTTTGTCAGTTTTTTTTTTTTTTTCTGAATAGACTCTTTAAATCACTACTAGTTTTCATCATTCTTTGGCATATTTAAACTGTCATATTTAATCCCTGACCTTGTATGACCGTGACTGTTCTTTTTACCCTAAGCACACTATTTTATTCTGTGTTCATTTGTCTTCCGTGATGGTTGCTGAACATACCCACACACATTGCACTGATGTGCCCAGCCTCACCTGTCGCTGTCCTTACCAGGATGAGGTTGTAAAGGTGAAGGTGAGTGGCTGATGTGGGGTTCCAATTTATCAGATGTTTCTTCTGCTTCAAGGACCAAGGTCTTGCCCTCCATTGAGTTTTCAGGTTGTGGATCACACTGGGTGATTGAGATGTCTGCAATGTGGATCAGAGGTCATGAATATGCAGTTGATGTTTCATTCATTGATTTATCCAATCCAAACTATTCTGATGATCATGATCTGAGTTCTCAGAATAGACATATTCCATAATCTCACAGGCAACCAAATACATGTCCTTAAAACTATACATACATGTGCACAGCACATTCGTCTCATCATTGGATGCTGGAGTTTGGGTTAGAAGTCATATAATTGGGTTGGACTTCATGCTATGTGCTAAAGCTCTTTTTTTAATGGTGTCAGAGTGTGTGAAGGAATACAACTAGCATTTCTCTTGCTTTACCAAAGATTATGTACAAAATATCATATGTGACCTCACTTAAGTCCTGTATTGGGCCTTATCCTACCTACAGAATACCAACATCTCTGAATATTCTGTATTGTTCCCTGCAGGGACACAGCTCTTCTATTCTCCTTGATTGACTTTTTCCAGTGAGCACCCTTCCCACATCCAAGATGACATTTTCCTCTTAGGTTCAATTGAAAATGCGCAAGGGGGTGCTACCCTTTGGGTTGTCTATATTTCTTCCTGGGTCCAGCCCTCAGGTCTCCTCAGTACCACAGTCCTTGGCTACTGCTTTTGGCCCTGTTGGCCTCCACTAATTGTCATGCCAATGAAACAATGGCTGAATTCTGAACTTGAATAAAATACATATTCATGATTGTCTCATGCCACTGTTGCTGTTAAATTAACACAGTCCACTGATTGTTACTGAATTCTTAAGATTATCAAGTTGTGTCATGAATGTGGTGTGCTGTATATGATGCACTCACACATTGCAGTGAAACAGTGTGGTGAAATCATGTGCTACATGTATGTAACTTTGTAACATACTGCTTGAATTGGTCTGAAATTAATATGAAATAAATTCAGTATTTACCTATATGAATACTGCAGTGAGTTTAATTAGGTAGAAAGGAAATGTTTGTCTGTGGTTTGGCACACATGGCTCTATGTCAATGTCACATCACGTGGATTTGAGTGTGTTGTATTACATACAGATGGGTGTTCTGTGGTGTGTGTGTGTGTGTGTGTGTGTGTGTGTGTTGTAAGGCATAGGTATTTGTGTGCTCTGTGGAGGGGTTCAGAAGTGTGTTACTCCATGAGACACTAGATACTGCATGTTGGAGGAAGCATGCAGCAGCTCTCACCACATACAGCACTTTGAAAGGTTGAAGGTGCTGTGGGTGCAGTAAGAGTTTGTGGATATGTAAGAGGGAATGCTGTCCGCAAAAGTGAATTCTCATCAGACAGATGAGTGTTCATATATGAGCTCCAGAGCTTGGTAGTTAAAACAGGTTATCTGTGTGCGGTGTGAAGTATTCATGAGGTTAGTTAGAGAAAAGGGGCATAATTGAGGGTGCAGGCATGCCCCTGTGCAATTCCACTAGGC